CTGCTACACCAGAGAATGTGTAGCTACCCAATTTAGTTGTATGGCAGAAAGTAATAGCGATTCATTTTCCTTCCTCTATACACTGGAATGGGAATTGGAAATTAATTGCTCAGCATAGCTTATTTTTAAGTAAACCCCTGTGAGACTAATCTGACAATTGCCCAAAATCTACTGCAGTAGTACTAAATAGCCATTTTGTTTCAGGGAGACTTTTTCAATCTAAGAGAATTTGCTAAAATGATAAAATATTTTAAACCATACTTTTTTTGCAAATACATGGTTCATCCCAGTATTTTAACAGTAAAATCATGATATTTGTTAGTTTTAACTGAGGCAAACAAGACATGAGAAGAAATGCCACTAGCAAGGATGTTTTAGCAAACTTCCCTGCAGATCCTATATTGAATATGTTTTGTTATGTTCATAATATGCCATGGCAGTACACTTGCTGAAAGTAAGTGCTAAGCTGGTAGATATACCTAATATGACATATAATAAAATAATATTGTAATAATAAAAAGCAAAGAAAAAACAGTAAACCGAGCAAAGAAACAGTGAAATTAAAATTCTGGAAAATCATTCAACAGATTGAGTAATATTGCGACGATTGCAAAGAGATATTTTATTTTTTATTTATTTATTTTTTGCTGTTTTGAGCCCATTTTGATGATATTTAATTCAACAATCGTTTGCATAAAAACTGCACACAGTATGTTTCTAATTTTTAATGAAATTGCAGTTTTCATTCAGTGAAGATCTAGGCTGCCAAAAACTAGATCTAGGCTGCCAATAAAGTTCCCCACTTTATACCCCTACACATCAGTTCCTCACTTTACCCCCTCCTAGACATCATTTCCCCACTGTACCCCTCACACACACTCCAGTTCCCCACTGTGCAACCCCCCTGCACACCAGTTCCCCACTGTATCCCCCCCCTCTACACACCAGTTCCCCCCACTGTACAACCCCCTACACACCTGTTCCCCACTGTACCCCCTCCTGCTCCCCCACAAAGTCCCTGAAAACTAGTTCCCCACTGTACCCTCCCTACACATCAGTTCCCTACTGTACCCCCCATAGACATCAGTTCCCCACTGTACCTCCATACACACCAGTTCCCCACTGTATCCCCCTACACACCAGTTCCCCACTGTACCCCCCATACACCAGTTCCCCACTTTATCCCCCTACACACCAGTTCCCCACTGTACCTCCTCACACACCAATTTCCCTCTGTACTCCCCTAGACACCAGTTCCCCACTGTACCCCCCTACACACCAGTTCCCCACTGTACCCCCCATACACCAGTTCCCCACTTTATCCCCCCTACACACCAGTTCCCCACTGTACCTCCTCACACACCAGTTCCCCTCTGTAACCCCATACACACCAGTTCCCCACTGTACCTCCTCACACACCAATTTCCCTCTGTACTCCCCTAGACACCAGTTCCCCACTGTACCCCCATACACACCAGTTCCCCACTGTACCCCCCTAGACACCAGTTCCCCACTGTACCCCCCATACACCGGTTCCCCACTTTATCCCCCCTACACACCAGTTCCCCACTGTAACCCCATACACACCAGTTTCCCACTGTACCCCCATACACACCAGTTCCCCACTGTACCCCCCATACACCAGTTCCCCACTTTATCCCCCCTACACACCAGTTCCCCACTGTACCTCCTCACACACCAGTTCCCCTCTGTAACCCCATACACACCAGTTCCCCACTGTACCTCCTCACACACCAATTTCCCTCTGTACTCCCCTAGACACCAGTTCCCCACTGTACCCCCATACACACCAGTTTCCCACTGTACCCCCCTAGACACCAGTTCCCCACTGTACCCCCCATACACCGGTTCCCCACTTTATCCCCCCTACACACCAGTTCCCCACTGTACCTCCTCACACACCAGTTCCCCTCTGTAACCCCATACACACCAGTTTCCCACTGTACCCCCCTACACATCAGTTCCTTACTGTACCCCCATAGACACCAGTTCCCCACCGTACCACCATGCACACCAGTTCCCCACTGTACCCCCCCTACACACCAGTTACCCACTGTACCCCCCATACACCAGTTCCCCACTTCATCCCCCCTACACACCAGTCCCCCACTGTACCTCCTCACACACCAATTTTCCCTCTGTACTCCCCTAGACACCAGTTCCCCACTGTAGCCCCATACACACCAGTTCCCCACTGTACCCCCCTACACCCCAGTTCCCCACTGTACCCCCCCCCGCACACCAGTTCCCCACTTTATCCCCCTACACACCAGATCCCCACGGTACCCCCCCCCCCCCCACACACACATACACCAGTTCCCCACTGTACAACCCCCTACACACCACTTCCCCACTTTACCCCCTCTACACACCAGTTCCCAACTATACAACCCCTAATACCAGTTATCCACTGTACCCCCTCTATACACCAGTTGCCCACTGTATCCCCCCCTTGCACACTAGGTCCCCACCCCCCTCACACACCAGGAAACCCCCCACCCTCCTATGAAGAAGACCAGCACTGCTGCGTGTCCTCCTACTACAGATCCCAGATAGTCTGGGAGGAGCTGGAGGAAGGTGATATCATGGTAAGCCAGGACTTACATGCAGGGAGAAGAGAGGGCAAAACACTTGAGGGAGAGAAAGGCAACAGAGAAATGTGAATGGAGCAGCACAGGGAGGGTGATCAGTGTGGTGGGATGGGATGAAAATTACAGAATGATGCCCTGTGTCTCTGTCTCTCCCTCCAGCAGCTAAAAGCCGGCGGGAGGCAGAGAGGGAGAAATCGGCTTTCAGCTGCTGGAAGGAGAGACAGCGACACAGGGCATCGTTCTGTAAATTTCCTCCTGTCCCGCCTCCTATCGGTGACCCCTCTGGCGGGTGTTACCCGGGTGCATTCTGCACCCCAATAGCAACACCACTGCTGTGCTCTCTCCTTCTATAAAAATGCACTTCAGCACAACTGCATAGCATTCTTATGGTCCAAGAAGATTGAAACGTTCCATATTCAAGCAAAATATCCAAATCATATGTGGGACAATGGATGTAGTGGTAGTGTGTACATATACTGTATATTGACAGATATGGACATTATACAACTGCACCTCCTATCATGATTGTTTCCATATACAATATATGAAGATTATCAACTAATACCAAACAGTTTGCATAATACAAATGCAAATAATTTAAAATGACTCTATATCAAATGACATAGTGTGATCATCGTGCGATCATCTCCAACCACCGTTCTCAGTACTTATTCTTACCCTCCAACAATAATTCCATGCCTAAATACTGAGAACAGTGGTTGGAGATGATCGCACGGTGATCAATATTAATTTTTGAGCACAGTATGTCATTTGAAAAGTTAGCACATTAATGTATTATATCAACATAACTAGTTAGAACACACTATACTATATTTGTTTTTTATTTTTTTTGGGAGTACGTGCAGTGGAGTGGACAGAAGAGACGAGGAGAAAAGGAGGATTTAGTTGTATACACCTCTGCCAATAATATATACTGTATATTGTGGGAACTCGCTTCTTAATGGTAGAGCTTCTTCAAAGCACACAGCAACTCACTTCTTTTTTAAGGGCCTTTTTGCCCATTTTAATTAAACGACAGTTCAATAACATAAGAGGTTCCCACGCAGGGGTATCCACCATCACACAAAACAACGATTCAGCCTCCTGGCTTATACTCAGCTTGATGTCTGTCTCCTGCAGACTTCTTCAAACAATTATGGCTCTCGCACACAGCTGGCCACTAGCACACAGCTAGTCTCTAGCAGCCCCTTGCTGCTTTTGGCTTCCACCTCTCCTAGGTGAAGCCCACCTGACTCCTATCTGCCGGGGTGGAGCCCAGAACCCTGGTCCTGACTCTCTGAAAAGGCCTGCACACACCTGTGCAATCAGTCTCCTGGCCATTCCAAAAACCTGGCCCCAGGATTGGAGATTTCATCCCTCCCAGATCTCTTTGAAATCTCCAGGCTCCAGATCCCAAAACAGACCTTACAAACAAAGGAGGAAAGTGAAAAGCCACTTTCCTCCGTATCAAACACTTTACCCTGGAGCCCCTCAACCTGCCTTGTTGAGAATCCAGGGTGACAGATCGCCACACTGTCACATATCCCCCCCCCCCCCTTTGTTTTGATCCCGTAGGGGGCAGAACACACAACTTATACCTTCTGGCACCTCTGTGCCAGCTCTCACTTACAGGGGTCCAATCTGGTCTAACCATACCTTTCCTAAAGGGGAACTCTACCCAATGACTCCTTTGGTGTCTCTCCCCAAGCCCCATTGTCACTCTGCTATGGGCTCTAATCAGACCTTGCCTACTCTTTTTCCAGGTGCACTTCCATAAACACTTTCTCTCTTGAAATCCTAACAGGGTCCCCCTGGCCTTTCTATTGACCTTTCTGCCCCTTTGCTTCAGGTTCCAAGGTTTCCTAATACCTCTCTCAGTATTACTGTCCCAAGGCTGTAGGGGAACTATTTCTACTGTATTTGTACCAGGACCACCCCCCTGATTTCTTGTACCTTTAGCTATCAAACCTGCATGACTCATTACCACAGCATTCAGTTTACCATGAACGGTTATATTCCAGTCAATATTACACCTTTCAATATCTTTTCCAGCATTTGTTAGGACAGTGTCTGTAGAGGGCACACACACCATAGGGCAGCCATCACCCACGTGAACCTCACAAAATGCCACTTCACCTGGTGTCATGCACTCTGCAAGCAGCTGTCCAACCATTTTAACTTTTCTACACCACTTGGATCTGTATCCAAACCCTGTACAGATGAGCTCTCTTCTGATCCATTTTGCCAGTTTTCACATACCATTTCTCCCTGTATTTCAGGTGTCTTATCAGAACTGCTACATAAACCTCTTTTTGGCCCAATGACCCTGATTTCTTTATGCACATCCGTTTGAGCCCTGGTCAGGATCTCTGCTGTTCTCTGGTCCATGCTCGGCCCTTCCATCTCATGTGGTTTGTCCAATGGTGCAGTAAACACACCCTTAACTGACAACTGACCAGCACCATCCTGGACCATAGCAGCAGAAATGCTTCCCACCTGGCTGTTAGGAGGTGAAACCTTTTTTGACTCATTTTCCATTTCTCCAAAACATTTCTCATATATCACATTTACAGGTAATCCAGCGGCATACCCTGATACAACTTTTAACACCATCAACAAATTCAGAAATAAACCACTTTCTTGTTCCCGTTTGATATGTACAGCCAGCCATTCGGTGCTCCACCTAGTGGTACTCCGCAGTACCAGACCATCCGACTGTGGAGGAGACACCCCAGTATACATTGGTTGTACATTCCAAAGTTCAAGCATCTCCTTTAATACTTTGGTTACAACCCAACCACTTGACTCTAAACCTAAGACCTTCCTGACCATATTTAGGGCACTGGGAACGCTGAGAGACTCACCTGCTGAGACTTGAGAAGTTGAAATTTTTAAAGGGACCTCCTCCAAGCTGGAGATAACCACAGCCTGGTGCTCCACCAAAGCGCTGCCATGTGCTGGGCTCACTCTCAACATCTCAGACTCAGCATCCACAAGCTGCCCCTGATCATTCCCAGTGACATCATTTTGACACTCCATGCCAACATCACTTTTGTGGGTCACAGACAAAGTCTCTGCTGTATGCACACCCTTATCTATAGGCTGTTCTATAGATCCTCCTGCTGGCACAGCAAAAACAGTGTCCACCTTATTTTTTTGCATAAAAGCCTCATCTATCAACGAGATTAGCCTTTTACCCCAACTATCCCAATCCATTGTATATGTGCTCAATTCACCAGTGCTCCTCAGCACCGATCCATCCGCCCAAGGAGACACATAAGAATAGACGGGCTTAGTTGCAGATCATTGCACAAATCACTCTGGATCACATCAGACTTGGGTAACACCTGTTTTCCAACTGCAGGTTGCAATACCTCACATCCACCACTTTGCTCTGGTGGTGCTTCCTGAATTACCCACACATTTGCATTTTTGCCAGGCTGCATTAACCCGCTGTTCACCTGAACACTTTCAGTATTTATTAGACTGCACCAAACACACTCCTATGACAAGGTGCAGTTCCACTCTGCTCCACCAGAGTGACATCGCAGTTGTCCAGGGCAACCTCCGGCTCCAATACACGGAGACCCCTGGAGATGTCTAAGGACACCTGTGCTGTCTTACCACCAGTTGCTATGGGAAATGACCCATCTTTAATTACAGCTTTTGCACTGCAAGAGCTCAGGGTTTTCCCAACAGCAGAACATTTCACATCATCAACATCAGCATTTTTAGCTCTTGTGGGCTGTACTAGCCCACTACCAACCTGTGACTGGCACACATTAGTGACATCACTTTCTTTTTGAGAACCATGCACAGGTTTTACTTTAAACCCTAAACTCCCCACTGTACAAGGCACTGCACAGGGAAAAGTCACTCTCAAAAGCACATTCAGTGGCCCAACTAACTGGGGTCACTCCTACATCAGAATGGACAGTCTCATAACCAGTCCTTCTCAACATGACAGTCCCAGCCATGGTTTTATCACACACAGTCTTACCCCCACCACAGTAGTAGGTTCACCATCTTCATTTGAGTGCGTCGTCTCTTAAACGCATCCTCAACTGCACTTTCTTTGGCAACTTTTCCCTTGCCCCAAGGTGAAGTAACAGACGCCATCATAGGCTCCATGGACTCTCTGGCACCCCCTGCACCCCCAACAGGAACTTCCTCCCTGTTGCCAGAGGTGGCTGCCAACATTTTAAAACAAGAATCTGGGCTTGCAGTTGTCGATATTTGCCCAGTATCAGCGGTATTCCAGAGTCTGGGACAGTAAAAGATCCCATGCCCCCACTGACCACATTCCAGGCATGGTACATTTCCACTCTTATCTTTGTTGGGACACTGAGCCACATCTTCAATGCAGCTCCTCCTTCCAGGCACTACTTTTTCTCCGGTCGCCATGGGAGATTGCACTCTCCAAGCAGAACTTTGCTGGCTCTTTCCAACACGCTGTATTGGCTCCTCTTGATACCACTTGCCATGATCCTTGTACGACATGGCCCCCCGTACACAGACAGCCCGACTGGCCTCCTCTGTGTTGCTATGGGCCTTCACTCTTGGTCCTGGCCTCTGGTCAGCTCCTCTCCTTGCACATAGCATAGGCTTCTCTCTGCTGGACCAACTCTCAAGCCGTGACACATTCACATTTTTCACAACAGCTACTGGTTTAACTGCAGCAGCGTTGCCATGGGGACAACAACACCCCTCTCCCAGGTACGGACATCCTGAAGCTCTCTCCTTGCACTGAAGGTTGGCTTGCTTTCCTCTGTAGGTTGGTTCAATGCTGCCAGGTGCCGCTTGCACCAGTCCACAGCAGACTCACCCACATCTAAATTTCCCGGCTTGGCTGGGGCATGCGGTATATAACTCCCTAGCCACAGGGCTCTCTCTCTCATTTCAGCAAACATTGCCTCCTTTTTCTGCTTTGACCTCCCCATCTTTGCAGTCATGCACACAGCAGTGTGTTACACAGTTCAGCAACACCATGGAACACTGTCTCTTTAAGGCAAAGTCCTTTTCTTTAGCAGGTTCTCCTCACCTGCACACACAGATAGTGCAGACTTATGCACCAAACACAGTTCATATAACTGATGAACTTACTTCAATCGCTGGGATCTCCAATTCTGCCCGCATCCTCCACCATATGTGGGAACTCGCTTCTTAATGGTAGAGCTTCTTCAAAGCACACAGCAACTCGCTTCTTTTTAAGGGCCTTTTTGCCCATTTTAATTAAACGACAGTTCAATAACATAAGAAGTTCCCACGCAGGGGTATCCACCATCACACAAAACAACGATTCAGCCTCCTGGCTTATACTCAGCTTGATGTCTGTCTCCTGCAGACTTCTTCAACAATTATGGCTCTCGCACACAGCTGGCCACTAGCACACAGCTAGTCTCTAGCAGCCCCTTGCTGCTTTTGGCTTCCACCTCTCCTAGGTGAAGACTTCCCCACCTGACTCCTATCTGCCGGGGTGGAGCCCAGAACCCTGGTCCTGACTCTCTGAAAAGGCCTGCTGCACACACCTGTGCAATCAGCCTCCTGGCCATTCCAAAAACCTGGCCCCAGGATTGGAGATTTCATCCCTCCCAGATCTCTTTGAAATCTCCAGGCTCCAGATCCCAAAACAGACCTTACAAACAAAGGAGGAAAGTGAAAAGCCACTTTCCTCCGTATCAAACACTTACCCTGGAGCCCCTCAACCTGCCTTGTTGAGAATCCAGGGTGACAGATCGCCACACTGTCACAATATGTATATAATATTTGTGGGTTCTAAGTAACTTTCTAGCAAACAAAAACTGATTTTTACTTGTTAACAAAAAGTGTCAGACTAGGCTTGGTCCTTAAGTGGTTAGTTAACCTGTGGTTCACTTATCTTTGTAGTTGCAGGCACTGTGCAGTAAATTCATCCTCAAAATTCACAGCAAAACCACTGATGTTGATCAAGTTTTTTTCTAAGATGCTCCACTCAACATTTTGTCGTAATGGCAGACATTAATCAGTCTTCCAAACCAGGTGCACTGGGGGCGCTAGTTCAACCAAATTGCTGAGAAAACCAATTTGAACTTCAGTGGGCACACTGGCCTGAACATGGCTCATTGAGAAAGCTGGAAGCTTCAGATGGGACAACTTGCCATCATAGCAGCTGAGTCAAAAAATAATAATTTGAGCCACCCAACATTGAATTATCAGTCATAGGAACTTGGTCTGTAAACTACAGCATCCTAGCAAATTAAAAGAGTGGCAAAAGGGATGCCTGACCTTGGATATCTGCCTTCAATCCCCAGTGCAGTAACTACTCTAAAATCCAGCTTGCAACGTACAACAACAGCAGCCTGGATGGCTTGCAGTGTCCTATGGAATAAAATCTGACCATTAACATACAACATTGTACATTGGTACTCTCTATTTTATGATCTTGGTATTACCCCAGGTAATACAATCAGTGGATTCTGGTGCATTAGCTTCTGGTCCTGATAAAGCCCAGGAAGTACATAAGTAATGGTTCTATACTGCCATAAGAGGGGGTGCACTGCCACAGCTGGCCTGAAGGGTAGGCAAAGTAGGCGACCACCTTGAATGCTTCAGCAAGAGCGGGCTGAAAAAATGGTAAGACCTGCAAAATAATGCTGCTGAAGTTGGTCATAGCTCATGGGGGTAGGAGCAGTCATTTTGGCCTTTTCACCTTGGGCACTAAATGACCTTGTCCCAATACTGGCTTCCAGTATGGTTGTTTGTCATGAGGGAAGAGGAAATATAGAAAGAATTATAGAGGCAAAAGGACAGAAAGTGAATGGTGTCATTTTTACTTCTGAATTCCCAGTGGCATACATTTCCATTTGTTCATTTCTATAGTTCCGTCGGTCTCTCTCAGGTTAATAGGGTCACTGTGAAGGCGGATGATAAAAGTTCCTACTGACTTCAGAAATTTCAGATTGTAAAGACATTCACAATCATTCTATCTTCAATGCATCCAAATCAAACACTTGTATCAAAGCAAGAGGCACAACAAGCACAAATCTTATCATTCCCGCAATTAGTATATGCGGATACACAAAAATGCTTTTATTGCTTGAGCAATAGAAATTCATTATGAAATGTTAACAAGACCAGACACATTCTTCGTACGCATTTTCTACTTTCTTTTTGTGCATGTGGCCGCCTCTGGACGTTTTCAAAAGTATGGGCTATTCAAAGGCTGCAGCCTCAAAAAGGAGAAAAATCCTTTTTATTTACTCAGGCAACCAAAATGCTAATTAGGTTGCTTAATACATTAATTAAACTGGCAAGCATGTTAAAAGCTGGGGTAGCATGCCAGTGCTAATCACAGACACACCCTGCTTCGGCACAGCAACACCAATGGGAAACTGTCTGGTAGAGCAGAAAAAAGGAGAGAAAAATAATTGTT